TGTTTTGGTGATTGAAATTGTGTAAGCAAGCATGGTTGATTATGCATGTTGAAAGTAGCAGTCCTTCACTTGTCTCAGCGTTAGCTTTTGTAATATGTTTTAGTCTCTTACGTAGTGTTGTATTTGGTCTGTTTATTTGAATATCTGTTGAATGAGTCTATTTGTTTCTCTTAAGGAATATTAGATGAAATGGTATTTCAAAATTTAAACAAAGGAATCTCCTGATGTATGGAATTTATTTCGGTGATAATGGTGATAACTCTTTTTGCAGCCAGTTGTTTTTCTTCATGGGGGGCCAGGAGGAGGAACTTCTCCAAGTAACCGTAGATTTTTTGACCCTGAATTTTACAGAATCATTTTGTTTGATCAGGTTATTATTCCATATTCATTATGATAAATTATGAGCCTCCATTCAATCTCTACAGTTTGAAATGTAAATTCTTGTTTTGTTTCCCTAGCGAGGTGCAGGAAAGAGCACACCCCATGCTTGCTTGGAGGAGAATACCACATGGGATCTCATTACGGACATTGAAAAGCTAAGGGAACACTTGAAAATTCCGGAGTGGCAGGTCAAAATTTTCTCCAGTTGTTGATCCGTAAAGAAACCTCTCTTTTTTTCTTTAGTTGGGGATATCATTGTTGAACTTGGGTGTTTATCTTCTCTTACTATGCAGGTTTTTGGTGGTTCGTGGGGAAGTACACTGGCACTTGCATACAGCCAATCTTACCCAGATAAGGTGCATAACTACTTTAGCTTGGCTCTATTTCTTCAGTGGGAACTCCTAAATAAGTGGAACCATGCTATTGACATTTCATATATTTTTGTTACGAGTAGAACTGATTCATATTTTGATAGTTTTTCTGTGGGTTTTTTTTTTAAGGTCACTGGTCTGGTCCTCCGAGGGATTTTTCTTTTGCGAAAGAAAGAGATTGATTGGTTTTACGAGGGTGGTGCTGCTGCTATATTTCCTGATGGTACGCCAGATATGATTCTTTATGTGATCTAGTAGGTGAATTATGACAAGATAAAGCACAAAAATCTGCATCATAGATTGGTTGAGATAATAGAAAAGCCCAACAGTTAGCTGGTGGCAGCAAAGGCCAAGAGGATTGTGGTGCTCGAGAAAAGGGTGCCCAAAATTTTTTGCTGGCAGTAATAGAATTGCATGCTCTTATAAAAGAGAACAACTATGCTTGGATGCTAATGAGTTTTTAGGTGGCGGGTCCATCTTTTTGCATGTCTTGAGATGTAGATATGTTGTTAATAAATTGATAGATAGAATTTTCTTAAAATCTTGCATGCTGATGATTATTTCCCTCTTATTATTCCATCCTACAGTACATGCTGGGAGATTGTGATTGCATTCCTTCAATTATTAGATACTATATTATATATAATTTAAAGTGATTTCTATGTTTATTAGGACTGTAAAACTGCTATGACTGATCTTTGTTTCAGAAACCATAACAAAAATGCTTATTAGCTTGCTTTGAAACCCATTGTTGTTTTGTGCTCATTAATTTAAAACACTGGTTCTTTTTACTAAACATGGATAAGTGTTTTCGAGTTTCTTATATATTTAGCCTTGACTCTTGCTACGCAGCTTGGGAGTCATTTAGAGATCTTATTCCAGAAAATGAAAGGGGATGTTTCGTTGATGCTTACAGCAAGAGATTAAACTCTGATGATAAGGAAACCCAAGTAAGTTTCTCAGTTTTTTTTTTTTTTTGGACTTATTTATTTATTTATTATTATTATTATTTTTTATAAAGTTTGCATTGTTCTAGTTTCAATAATAAAAAAAGGAGTTTATATTTTTCTATGAAAACTATGTCCATTTATCTGATCTTGACTCTTGAGCATGTGCAAGTTTGCAAATATGTTGAGAATCAAGTGTATGTCCTACAACTATACTCCTTTCAATAGAAATAATGAATGCATTTTCCTCATAATTTCTTAGTATGCAGCTGCAAGAGCATGGACCAAATGGGAAATGATGACTGCCCATCTTCTTCCAAATGAAGAGAATATCAAGAAAGGGGATGATGACAATTTTTCCTTGGTAAGTCAATCTAGCATCAAGTATTATTGACTTATGTGTTGTTCTATCAATGAGACGTCAAAACATGTCTTCCTTGAGGTTTCCTTTAGTCTACTGTTGTAGAGGGGGAAAGGAAAACCCAAAAATGCTCCATGATACTGCACAAGAAAACTAAACTCGCTGACATATTTCTTCAGTAGGTGCTCAGATGTGGAAACCCAGAGTTAGTTCAAGTATAGTGTTGAGAACCAAATCATTTCAAAAGCGTAACTTCGTTACAAACATAGTTGCTTCCAGTATTTTTATCTTTTTTTAAAAAAAATTGAGTGTAGAGTTGAGAATCTGTCATCTATTTTTTCCCATTTTATTTCAATGCAACACGGCAAATTGAGCTAAGTAACTCATCACTGCTAGGTTGTTGTTGAGATGTTTGAAATTTCATTTTTGAACATGCTTGTTGAAATTTTTATTGTGTACCTGCTTGTTTCATTCTATCCAGGCATTTGCAAGGATTGAAAATCATTACTTCGTGAACAAGGGATTTTTTCCCTCGGATTCTTTCCTATTAGAAAATGTTGATAAAATTAGACACATCAACACTACAATTGTACAGGTATGTGTTACATTTATCTCTACTGGGATTCCATGTTCTTTGTTTGGCAAACGCATGATCTTTTCAGACAAATAAATGATGGCCACGTGCTAAACAAAACCATCCATAATTTGCTCTCTGATCTGGTTCTTTTAACATCCTATGTTTTGACCAATCCCTGCAATTTGATCACTTCGTCATAATTCAATTGTTTCTTTGTGGTGATTGTGTCTTTGAAGGTGTGAAACCATCATCGTTTTACATATTTGAATTATGTTGCAGGGGAGATATGATGTTTGCTGTCCTATGATTTCTGCTTGGGATCTTCATAAGGCTTGGCCAGAGGCAGATCTAAAGGTAGGAGAACTTCTCTGAGCTGTAGGATCTGTCACCCAAAAAAAAAAAAAAAGAAAAAAAAAGGAGGGGGTGGGGGGGATTTGCTGTAATCCATTTGGTTTCCCAAGTTGGTGTATGTGCTTACCCAGACTCTTGTTCTGTCTTGCATATTTTCTCAACGTACTTGTTAATTTGCAGGGGGAGTTATATGTGCCTGTTAGCTGGAGATTAAAATTTCAGTTATAGGGTCATGATTTTCATCATCGAAACTTTTAAGGTTGCATGTACTACATGGTTGCTAGTCTTGCATTTGTCTCTGAGTTCATCTGTAGCAAAGCCACATAAAAACATATGAAGCATTCCCCTCCCTCTCTATTTTTTTTTTTCAAGTTAAAGAAAGAAAATGTATTATGTCTGTTTATCTTTTGCATATCCTTTCTTAACAGCTGTACTAGTTCATTATCCAAAGTAGGATCTGGCTTTTTTCCTTCAGTGTTCATAGTGTTTTTCAGCTCATGTAACAACATCTAATTCTAATGTAAGCCACTTAATGTTTTTCTTTGAATTATTGGATGGGCTGGTTATGCACACACTATTTCAATTGACGATCTTCATAAGATCAAAACATTGAATTGACATTGCAGTTTTCTTGCATTAACAAGGCACGAGTTCACTGGGATCATGCTTTTTTAGTTGCATTTATTTTAGCTATTGCTTCATTTTGACTTTTCCCTATTATTGAAGTTACCGTATTGGATCCCTTTGGATAGGTTGTTCCAGATGCAGGACATTCTGCTAACGAACCAGGAATAGCTGCAGAGCTTGTGGCTGCAAATGAGAAACTCAAAAACATCATCAAGAATGGATCCTGAAAGGAGAACGTGGATCAAGCCTTCACGACTAGATCATAATAAGAAAATGTGGCACATTTACGTCACCGTGATTTGCGTCCACAGGAAAACGGGTTGCATAATTACAGGATTTAAATTGTGAACGTTGAATAACTGTGTGGAATGTCTTTATTGTTGTACTTTGCACTCCAATCTTCATTCCTTGAGGAATGGGTTTACTAGTCATTGTAAATGGCCGCCTGATTGGTTTATGACCAGGGCTCCTGCTGTGCTTTTCCTATTTCCTCGGATCGCTACTGTGGCCATTGCAGGAGTGGTGTAAAATTGTGTAAAATTATTCAAGGCATGTCCCACAACCCTTGAAAAAACAAGACGTTCTCATTGGAATGATGGAAGGTGGAAGCCATTGGAGGATTGGTGTAAATATATTTGAGACGTCTCACAACCCCTGCTGCAAAACTTCCTTCTCTGTTACTTTGTCATCGCTATTAATTGACGCATCTTTCCTCCTGTTTATGTGAAAAGAACTTGGCCCTACATTTGTTCTTCTTCGTTTTGTTCTGATTTGGCAGAAATCCCATAAAAAAATCCATCGAAAGCCTAATTCAATATTCATATTTTTTGTATAGAAATAGATCGAGCTTGGGGAACTGTGAGATTTTTTTATATATAATAATTTTAGAAACCAAATATCCTTCTGAAGAAATAAAGGGATAGATGAAAAGGAGAGCCGGTAGAAAATGAAGAACCAGCCATTTTTTGTAAGTGTTTCTATTTTTTTCCCCTAACTGAAAAGCATTATGAAAATAAATTTGAGAAAACGTTTTAAAAATCTTGTAGTTCAAACACTAATTTTTGTTTGACAAAAGCTAGTTTTTTTAACCAACGTCACAACTTCCCAGATGATTTTAAAGCTCCGCATTCCGCAACCAATTATTGAAACAACAAACAATTTTGCAATTCCAAGAGCATATTGGCAGCCATTATTTAATTTTCCAACTTATATAGCTTATATTTAATTTAATATTATTTTATTTTAAAAAATATCAGTTTTTTAATTAATTTTTCATATTTTTTATTTTGATTTTGTTGGCTTGGATTTCTTTGTATTATTGATTTTGTCTTAATTATTTGAAGTGTGTCCCACAACCTTTACAAAAACGGGACGTTCTCATCGCAATGATGGGCGGTGGAAGCCATTGGAGGATTGGTGTAAATATATTTGAGGTATGTCTCACAATCTTAAGAAAATCTAGGCGATATATCAGAATAATTGCTCCAAAATTTCTCTCTCTGTTACTGTGTCATCACTATTAATTGACGAATCTTTCATCCTCCTTATACAGAAAAAACTTGGCCTTACATTTGTTCAATTAAAAATTAGTGTAACTTTCCGGATATTTATTTACAATCGGTTGTTTAAGTCAATAGTTGTAGTAGTTGTTTAAGTCAATGCTTATCCCTAAAGTGGTGTGATTAGTTTTTCTATTATCATACAAATAAACCGGATAAGTTTTTGGTATTATCCCATGCTAGTAGTTGGAGCCTTTATAGGATAGTTTGTTAGATAAGCTCTTTAAATTCATTAGATGTAATTTGTTTTTTCGTGGTGATCAATAACACATTTTATCTTTTCGATAAATAGCTTTCTATCTTCCTGTTTTGTTACATGGTGTCAAAGCCAAGTTAAGGTTCAAAAGTCTTCTTGTTTATCCAATAGCATACTTGTTAGAGAAGATCAAGTTTTCTAAATTCATTAAGTTGCTATGGAGTCTAGAAATGGAGGAAATAGTTCCATTGCACGAGTATGGTGTAGAGAAGCTTGTAGGAACAAACTACAAGTATTGGAGAATGTGCATGAAAGCATATCTTCGGGGTCGGGACTTGTTGATGGCCATGATTCGAAAATTCCTATTGATACTCCGGAGAATGTTGAACCAAGACGAAAGTGGAAGATTAAGTGCCGAAAGGCTCTCTTTGCCTTGAGAACGTCCATTAGCAAAGAGTTCATTGATCATGTTCGTGATGTTAAATCTCCCAAGGAAGTTTGGGAAACACTTGAAAGGTCAGTTTACCAAGAAGAGTACTCGTAAGGTTGCAGCTTGTTGGAGAACGAGTTCGCAATGCTAAAGCGAGGAGGTATGTTAATTTCGGAATACTTCTTATGAGTTAAAAGTATTTGTGCTGAAATTTCGAGAGATAGATGTGGATGAGAAAATTAGCGAAGGTCGTTTACGTCGTTATCTTGTTCGTGGATTGAAGAAGGAGCACGGGCCATTCGTCACCTCTATTCGAGGGTGGTCAAAGCAACCCTCCGTAGAAGAGTTAGAGAATTTGCTCTCTAATCGGGAAGCTTTAACGAAACAAATGACGAAGAATTTCGAATCCGATGCTATTCTTTTTCGAAAGGGAAGCCAAACAAGAAGAATACATCCTGGAACAAGAATGAAGAAGAAGACTCCGAGTGTAGAGAAAGGTGACAACCATCAAAGTAAGAAAACTATTACATGTTTCGGATGCGGCAAAATTAGGCATATCAAGAAAAACTGTTGGGTGAAGATTGCCAAAGCTAACGTTGCTTGCACAAGCAAAGGAGATGATCAACTCAAATGGGAGAAATGTTTTACCATTGAAACTGTCGAACAAAAGTCGGCCTAAGCTTTTGTCAACTATGCCAACAATAAGAAAGAAGAGTGGATCATTGATTCGGGATGTTCTCACCATGAAACTGGAGATGAAACTCTATTTTTGGATGTGTGGGAACACCATGGAGATCGAGTTATTATTACTGCGGATAACTCAACCTATCCGAGTAGCGAAAGAAGGTATTGTGATAATAGATGTTGCGATGATACAACCGAAGTATCAAGTTGCATGATGTTTATCATTTTTCGGGTTTGATGAAAAATCTAGTTTCGGTTCCTCAAATTACTGATTTTGGAAAATATGTCTTGTTTGGTCCAAATGATGTGAAAGTACTAGAAAATGTGAAAGATATATATGCTGATGTTATCTTTATCGGCAAGAAGAAAGGCTCTTTGTTAGTTATGCCGACAGGTGAAGCCTATGTGAAGAAAACAAGACAAACCGACAATGCTGCAATTAGGCATGCTTGGTTGGGTCATGTAGGCTACCAAATGTTGTAGCAAATTTCTTCTAAGAGGTTGGTAGATGGTATGCCAACTTTGAAGAATGTACGTGAAGATGTGATTTGTCAAAGTCGTCAATATGGCAAATCTCATTGTCTTCTTTTCAAAAATTCATCAAATCAAAGATCCACATTGTTCGAATTGGTTTATACGGACTTGATGGGACCAATAAGAACACCAAGTTATAACGAGCATCGTTATGTTATGGTGTTGGTGGATGATCATTCGAGGTTCACTTGGGTGAAATTCTTGAAAGAGAAGAGTGAAGCTCTATCCAAGTGTATGGAGTTCAAAAATGCTCGTTGAAAAAGAATTCGAAAAGAAGATAAAATGTCTCCGGAGTGACAATGGTGAGGAATACATGTCGGATAACTTCTTCCAATATTGTGATGAAAACGACATTCTTCGTCAAATGACTTGTCCGGACACTCCATAGCAGAATGGAGTTGCGGAAAGAAAGCTTGGCTATCTTGTTCCGGTTTGTCTTTCACGGTTGCATGAAAAAAATCTTCCTCGGGAGCTTTGGGCGAAGCCATTCAATGTGCATGCTATGTGACAAATAGGCTACCTCCTTGGCAGTACACAAAAATCTCCCTTTGAGATTTTATATGATGAAAAGCCAAATGTGAATTATTTTAGAGTATTTGGTTCTATTTGCTATGTTCATGTTCCCAAATCTAATTGAACCAAACTAGACCTAAAAGCAAGAAAATGTGTATTTGTTGGCTATGACTCTTATAGAAAGGGTCGGAGGTATATGGATCCGAGAGATAAATAAGTTTACTACTTCTAGAGATGTGGTATTCGATGAAGTGTCATCTCTATTTTATGCTCAAAAGTTCGTTGCTCTTGATAATGATCAAGACAATTTGGAGTTCCTATTTCTCGAAGCAAATATGCAAACACCTTGCAATGAAGAGGTGGAAAATGAATCCCAAGTTCGAACATCACACAAAGAGAAGAGGATGAGTAACAAACGGTGAGAAGGTCAACAAGGGAGAAAAGACGGACATGCTATCTCAAAGATTATGAGGTAGAACTTAACAATTGTTCTATTACCGCATGTTTCTTTACGGAAGCATTAACCGCAAAAGAACCAACATGTTATGAAGAAGCTAAAGGTCGTCCAAATTGGGAAAGAGCAATGCAAGAAGAGATTGATGCTCTAGACAAAAATGAGACATGGGAGCTCGGTACCCAAACCTTAGAAGTGTCGGCTAGTCACTTGCAAATGAGTCTTCCGCTTGAAGAAAAAATCGGATGGCACCATTGACGGGTTTAAAGCCCGTCTAGTTGCTCGTGGGTTCTCACAAAGCTATGGATTGGATTATGAGGAAACATTCAGCTCGGTAGCAAAGATGGTGACAATGAGGACACTTATTTCACTTGCTCGCTTTTAAAGGTTGGAAATTATGGCAGCTCGACGTAAAGAATGCATTCCTTTATAGAGAATTAGATCGTGAAGTATTTATGGAGCAACCTCATGGTTTTGTCTCTAAACAATTTTCGAATCATATCTGTCGTCTCAAGAAAACGCTTTATGGCTTAAAGCAAGCACCACGAGCTTGGTATGGTAAAGTTGATCAATATCTTATCTTTTGTGGTTTTAGAGTTTCGATTCGGATTCTAGTTTATTTATAAAATATGAATCAAATATGCATCTCTTGGTATTATTATATGTTGATGATATGATAATAACCGGAGATAATGAATCGAAATTTCTAATTTACGAAATGACTTGTCCGTTCGTTTTGAGATGAAAAATTTGGGGGAGATTGGATGTTTTCTTGGTCTAGAAGTGAAAAAATCATATTAAGGTTATTTTGTTTCTCAAAAAGACTATGCTAATAGTCTCCTGGAGCGTTTTGGCATGGGGGAGTCGAAAGAAAAGGCTACTCCAATAGAGCCAAATCTTAAGTTGAAGAAAGATGAAGGGAAGCCATTGAAAGATGTGAGGAAGTTCCGACAACTTGTTGGAAGCTTAATTTATCTCACCATTACAAGGCCGGAAATTCCACATTCCGTTAGTGTTATTTCTCAATTTATGTAGAGTCCTAGAACTCCTCATCTAGATGCTCGCAAAAAGGATTTTGCGGTATGTGAAAGGAACTCTTGGTTATGGTCTTATATACGAGAGGTGCAACAACTTTATGTTGAGTGGATTTACCGATGCTTGATTGGGCTGGAAATACAAATGATCGTCACTCAACTTCGGGTTATTGTTTTTAACACTCGGTTCGGCAGTAGTTTCTTGGTGTAGCAAGAAGCAAGATATCGTTGCTTTTTCTAGCACCGAAGCCGAGTATGTGGCAGCGACCATGGCTGCACAAGAGTGCATTTAGTTGAAGAGGCTAATTGGAGACATGTTGGGTGAAGCTGATTATGCGAGTACAAATCAATCTGTGACAACGAAAGTGCTATTAAACTTGCATCAAATCTAGTTTTTCATGCTCGAACAAAGCATATTGAGGTCCGACATCACTTCATTCGTGAGAAAGTTTTAAGTGAAGAGATTAAGCTAACAACTCGTTTGCACCAACGATCAAGTGGTCAACATATTCACTAAGGCTTTGGCGAAGCCTAAGTTTCAATGCTTTCGAGATGCTCTAAGAGTTGTTGATGGGAAGCTTGCACTTAGGGGAGTGTTAAAAATTAATGCAACTTCCTGGATATTTATTTATAATTAGTTGTTTCGATCAATAGTTGTAGTAGTTGTTTCGATCAATGCTTATCCCTAAAGAGGTGTGATTAGTTTTCCTATTATTATGCAAATAAACCGGATAAGTTTACGGTATTATCCTATGCTAGTAGTTGGAGCCTTTATAGGATAGTTTGTTAGATAAGCTCTTTAAATTCGGTAGATGTAATCTGTTTTTTCGTGGTGATCAATCACACATTTTATCTTTCTAGTAAATAGCTTTCTATCTTCCTATTTTGTAACATGTTCTTCTTCGTTTTGTTTAGATTTGGCACAAATCCATCGAAAGTCTAATTCAATATTCATATGATGGAAATAGATTGAGCTTGGGGAACTGAGTGGTCTTTTTTCATCTATATAATAATTTGAGAAACCAGAAATCTTTTTGAAAAAAAATAAAAGGTTAGATGAAAAGGAGAGTCGAGAAAGATCGAGGTAGAAAATAAAGAACCAACCATTTTTTTATACTTGTTTCTACCCTCTTTCTTTCCTCATATTTTGTTTTTAAGATAGATTTGATTAACTGAAATAAATTATGAAAATTTGAGATAAATGTTTTATAAAATCTTTTAGTTCAGAACTAATTTTTGTTTGCCCAAAGTTAGTTTTGTTGCTACTCTCTCAATCAAAGATAATTTTAAAGCTCTGCAATCAATTATTGAAACCAAAGACAATTTTGTGATTCTCCGAATATATTAGCAATTAGTCGAAGGCTATTCAAAAAGTTATTTATTTAATTTTTTGATTATTATGAATCATGTTTAATTTAATATTACGTTATTTTTAAAAGTAATCTTTTTTTAATTAATTTTTTCATTTTTTAAATTTTTAAATAAAAAATCAAAATAAATTGAAAAAACAATAATTAAGCTCTAAGAAAATTTAAAAATATAAAATCAAAGAATTAATTTTTATAACAAAGTTAATTAATTGTTATTATTGTTGTTTTTACCAGAAAAAAAGGCAAAATCGTAGAACTTACAAATTGATAGAATGCAATCCCACTAAATATCATTTAATAAAAACCTCAAGGAGCCAAAATGAGTTTTTAGTAAACACTGGATTGGAACCTCTAAAAATCAGCATAAAGATTTTATAATAATATCGTGTCAAGACATAAAAACTATATATTTTAAATGCTATATAATCTAAGGTGCTTCAATGCCTTGAGAGAAGAACCGACAACTTAACTAAGCAAATTATCTTCAATGGAAGTTCCAAGAAAGGACGGAGTGCGGAGATCTGATCTTCTTGGAAGTACTACTGATGTGGTCGTTGTAGGTGCTGGTGTCGCTGGTTCAGCACTAGCTTACGCTCTTGGCAAGGTAATACTTAATTAAGAGTAACCCTTAAACTAGAAGCATAAGTTTCTAGTTCAAAGACTAGAACAAAGAGATCTTCTATTGTTAATTTTTTTTTTAATAGCAACCTTGGATGCTCATGCTAATTGCAGGATGGATGGAATGTACATGTTATTGAAAGAGACTTGACTGAGCCTAACAGAATTGCTGGCGAGATCCTGCAGCCTGGGGGCTACCATAAATTGATCGAGTTAGGACTTGAAGGTGAAAAATAGCTTGTTGCAGAAATCAGTTTATTTGCTTGAACTTTTTTTTCTCCTCATTTTATTGAAATAATCACAGTTATCCTATATATGTTCTTTCCTGTAGATTGTGTAGAGGGGATTGATGCTCAGAGAGTGTTCAGTTTGGCTGCAATTTACAAAGATGGGAAGAAAGCTACAGTTCCATATCGCTCAGATGTGAGTGCTAGAGGCTTTCACAATGGCCGCTTCATTCAGAAACTGCGCGGAAAAGCTGCATCTCTTCGCAAGTATGTTTTCTTCCTTTCCCCTGGAACATATAGGAACAAAATTTTACATATTTGTAAAATCAATGCAGCTTTGAACTATTGATCTTTTCATCATATGAAGATTTTTATTTCTCATATATCTTTTTAATTTCAGTGTTGAACTTGAACAAGGAACGGTAACATCTCTAATAGAGGAAAAGGGGATTATCAAAGGGGTGCAATATAAAACCAAGACTGGTCAAGAGTTGGCGGCTTCTGCTCCTCTTACAATAGTCTGTGATGGTTGTTTTTCAAATTTGCGGCGCTTTCTCAGCAATCCAAAGGTGAAATCTTGCATCACCATAATTAGCTGCAAATGGATTTGCGTTAATCTTAGATTTTGCTGATAAAAATAGAGACCGGTCAGTTCCTTCATTTGCAGTCAGATTAAGGTTGGATCATTATAATTGCAGATTGAAATTCCCTCCTACTTCATTGGTCTGGTCCTAGAGAACTGTCATCTTCCTCATGTAAATCGTGGGTATTTTATCTTGAAGGACACGACCATCGTAGCTTTTCCTATTGGTACTGACGAGCTTCGCTGTTTAGTTGATTTTCCTGGCCAAAAAGTACCTTCCATCTCAAACGGTGAAATGGCTGACTATTTGAAAACAGTGGTGGCACCTCAGGTATGTATATGGTTCTTCACATAATCTACAAATTTTTTAAGTTTTTTCGAAAACAGGGTGTGGAGGAAAATTTATTTCCATGTCTTATTTTATCATTAATATGTTCTCTTAAAGTTCCTTTCTATTCAATAATATATTCCTCGACTGATGATTAACAGCGAGAATTGCATACTTCAGATGCCAGCTGAGCTATTCGATGCATTCATCTGTGCAATCGATAAGGGCAACATAAGAACAATGGCAAACAGAATCATGGCTGTGTCTCACTATCCAATCCCTGGTGCATTTCTGATGGGGGATGCATTGAATATGCGACATCCTTTAACAGGAGGAGGAATGACGGTGGCGCTTTCTGATGTTGTTCTACTGCGAGATCTTCTTAGACCTCTGAATCATCTTAGTGATGCAGCTGCACTTTGTAAATATCTCCAATCTTTTTCCATTCTGCGTAAGGTATGAGCCAGACAATCATCGAATAGAAATTGCCAAAGGAAACTTTAATTCATGTTCATGCTTGTTGAGTGGAAAAAAAAAAAAAAAGAAATAAAAACCTCCAGTCAGAAGTAGCATCTGCTAATAGTTCACCAAAACTTAGCTTGGTTAATTTTTTGTTGCAGCCAATGGCAACTACAATAAACACGGTGGCAGGTGCTCTACACACAGTGTTCTCTGCATCGGAGGATCCATTAAGGAAGGAAATGAGACAAGCATGTTTCAACTATTTTTGCCTGGGAGGTGTATTTTCAAATGGATTGATGTCTCTTCTCTCTGGGATGAACCCTGACCCATTGAGCTTGGTTTTCCACTGCCTTGCCTTGGCTGTCTATACTGTTGGTCGCTTACTGCTTCCATTTCCTACACCAAAACGCATTTGGATTGGAACAAAACTAATTTTGGTCAGTATCTCTGTTTTCTATTACTTTCAGTTTAAACTTACCGTTCCTTTTAGCTAATAATATTTGCGGAGTAAACTGTTCGGCTAATTATTTGTCTATTAATGCATATAGCTTGACCAGAAAAAAAAAAAAAAAATTTAATTTTATCTTTTTCGTCTCTCAGGTTGCATTAGGGATCTTCCTTCCTATAATCAAAGCAGAAGGAATTAGAGCAACATTCTTCCCAGTAACCATGCTAGCTTACTACAGAACTCCTCCCGTCCCTTGATGATATTGGAAACAAGAATATTGCAAATAAAGAAGATACTGCTTTATTTAATTTTGCTGTTCCTGTTAGGTAGAGAATTAGTACTGGAACAGGGAGTAGCATTAAAATAAATAAAGCTGTTGTTGTCGTATTGGTGGCTCTTCCATCACTTTTCTACGCTCAATTACTCTGATGAAACAGTAAATTTCGGTTCCTTTATTCCAGATATTTTAGTTTTTCACTTGATAGCTCATATGTCAATGACATGCCATAAATGTCTTATTTTCATAAATATATTCAAAAGTTTCCTATTATAGTAATATAGTAAAAAAGATTTGAAAGTAACTTGAACCGGCAAAAAAATCTCTGTGAAAGTGACAAGATGATTGATCAGTTGGGATATGGACCCTCCCAATAATAAAAATTTTACTACTACCACGATTTTGGTTGTTTTCTAGCAATCAGTGAAATTCGCGTGCGGATTTTTTTGCCAAACAGGGAGGATATGGGCCCTCCTCCAGCTTTGTCTATTAGCTTATTCTGTAGAATTTGTTCTTTTCTGCCCCGAAGAGAGAACAAAAAAATAAAAACTAGCAAGGGTATAATAGTTAATTGAAAAAAAAATATACTAGTCAGTCAAAAAAAAATTAAGAAATATCGATGGATTTCTACAAGTGTTAGTGGTTTATTGATAATTTTTAAGAATTATACGTTCAATTTTTTAGTTAAAAACATTGAATTTGTTTGCATTCTACAAAAGGAAAGGTTAAATTATCATATTAATCTATTTAAGACTGGTATTAAGTTTGGTTTTTCCTCTATTTCAACATTAGTAATTAAATACTAATTATATTTATGAAAAAAAATATATATACATTTTAAAAATACCAACGTTGTTTTTTTAGTCAACCGTCTATTAGTATAACGGCAATTAAATTTTTTATAAAATGGTCATCTATAAAATTAAAATTTTTAAGTCTCACTTGTTATGGTTTATAATTTGTATGGTTTATAATTTGTGTTATATTTGAGTTTTCACACGTGATTGTAATTATTTAAAATAAAAAATTCTAAATTTTGATATTAACATGAATATACTAAGCGTTTCAAAATGATAGAGCACTATGATGTGATTAAAAATATTTTATGTCGGAAATTGATGTAAGTTATGGTACCTACTTTTACAGTTTTTCAAAAATTTGTGTTTAATAGGGCAGGCTGGCAGCCTCTGCCATTGCATAATAACTGAAAAGACAGATGATTGATTTTGTTCTACCGGACCCACGGTGTAGCACGGGCAACCGGTTAGATTTTTTAAAAAATCATTTTCTCCGCTAGCCCTTTTTTTTGCCCTGTTAATTCTCAACTCTCTTAAGTCTCTTGCCAACTCTCTCCATTATCTTTTTTATTAACACTTACTACAATTAATCTGTCTTGTTCTAATTTTAACTTTTGATCTTTTATCTTTGTGTAGTAAATTGTACCATAAAAATGGGCATGCTTTTCTAAAATTAAAGCTACGTTATAAACCTTCCCTGGTATAGATGACATATTTAATTGCACAAATATTCTTGAATATTTTTGTTGTTTTTGTGCAGTAAGTTTTAACTTATAAACCTTCCAAATGATCGCTTGTGATTTTCCTAATCTAAATAATCCTCCCATTCATATCAAACATATTTAATTTTTTATACGTATTTTTTTCAGTGTATATGCCACATTATTTGGTGGGAATTAGTGAGTACCCATGCTTTAAACAACTTATATAAATTTGTATTTTACACTACAAGAGAAGTGGCAATCAACAACGGATTTTTCAATCGCTAATTAGCCAAAATCCGTCACTAAAGTCGTTTAGCGATGGCATATCAATGAAAATTATGTTTGTCACTAAAAAGCTAGTCACTAACATTAGCGACGACAAAAAACAATTCGTCGCTAACATAGCGATGGATTTTCTATCGTAAAACGGATAACGTTCATTGCTAAATTGGTCGCCGCAAACTATCTTCTTAAGTGTCACTAGTGTCGTTGTTGTTTAACGACCGATAATCCATCGCTAATATCCGAAGCTAATGCCATTTATCGCTCGACCATCAATATTTCATCACTCGAATGTTGAACATATCCATTGTAACTCTATCACCATTGGCATGGAAATTCGTCATTTGGTATTGTCTTTATTCCTTAGATAATTATATTTTAAAAAATAAAAAATTTATATTTTATTTTTTAAAATTAATAATATTTTCTTTATAGTAATTAACAATTAGGAGAAACGATGTATTATTAAAATTTAAATATTATAAATTAAATATAAATTAATATTAGCAAAAAAAAAAGATTCAATAGTCCGTATGAAAGAATAGAAAATAAATTAAAAAATGAATTATCGGTCCGATTGTCATCTTGATCGTCTAATCCCCTATCCTCCTCCTAGGACTTGGTGGGGGGCTCGATGGGAGGAACAATGTAGTCTCGATTGGTGGATGGATCTATAAGCTCGGTCTAATCAACATGGAGGCCATCGTTTTGTATTGAGAATTAAGCCTATGTATGGTACTCTGTTGCTTCTGTGACAAAGTTTTGCGGCTTGTGTTGTTTGACTTGCATCCCTTTCATTTCCTCTTTCGTCTCTTTGTACTTGCCTCCGAACCCCCTTATTAGAAATATTAATGGTATAATACGATGACACGAGAGATGGAGTTGCTACCACTTGATTGGGACGGATAATGCACCACCTGTGTGCCTACATCATACACCCTATTTTTTTCTCCCATAGAGCCTCAAGTTATATGGTGTTCTTGTTAATCTCGACACCGGTATTCCTTCGCTCGTTGCATCGCAACGGCTTCTGTATGAGCTCTTCAACACGCTCCTGCGTAATCGAAATAACGATATTATTAAAAGATTAAAATAAATTTATATTATATTAGCATATATAAAATTAAAAATTAAAAAACACTTATCATTGTTTGTTGTTTGTGCAAATCGATGAAAAAACCATCTCGTTACTTATGAGTCACACGAAACTGACTCAAAACTCATTGGCTCACGACCCAATCTTGCCTTAAAAAAATGAATCATAAACAATATAAGATGAAATTTTAAATTTTATGAAACATGTAATTAATAATAAAAAGTGTGCAATTTACTAAGCGACGGATGTGCTTTTTCGGAAAGATGGAGCCTTTTGTATGCCTAAAAGGAACAACACCATGGCCATCGATCTCCAACAACCGATTTTGTGATGCTTGCTCGAAATGAGCCTTGTGATCGGGTTTTGCAAAATCTTAATTCCATGAGTCCCAAACCTCATGTATAATAAAAGTAAGTCGTTTGGCCAATAAATCACACTTGTCGATGAAGTTGACGTAGCATTTTCTTGGCGAGCCTCCCATGCTCCTTTGACAAGGGTCTCGATAGTCGAATCCCGTCAAAATATTTATGCATGAAAAAAATTAATATTAACAACTTTATTTAATGATAAATTTTTATTTTAATTATAAAAAAATAAATAATGCGTTATCCTAAATGCATCTGAAGTAGAATTGTTTAGTAGGTTTAAGACAGATTTCCACATCGATCTACCGAGCATCTAATCACTTCTTAAAATTCATGATTATCTTTGCGGTATAATCTCTACTATGCGGACTAAAACTATCAAACATCAAAAGAAAAAAAATTAAAAAAAATTCAAAAATTATTGAAATGATATGTTAAAATAAAAAAAATTATTACATCGAATTTAATTAATTACATACCGTCCTCAAGCGATAAAAAAATATCACCTACTGGAGGAGCTCTGGGAATCATCTGGAACGCCAGATACATCAACGGATGGGTCACTCTCTGAGGTCAGCACTGGAACCTCCGGTGCTAGTGTGGGAACCCCCGGTGCAGGTGCGAGAATCTCTAGTATTGGTGCAAAAAAATGTTCAAAGGGTGCATCCTGTATGGCTTGAGCCGTTGTAGATGATTTGGCTCTATAGCTGTGGGAGCTATGGGACCCACGTAAAACCTCTGTAGTCGAAGATCCCTGATTGATATTGGTTGAGATCCTAGTCTGCTGCCATCAGATAATGATGCTCGTCCACGACTACCAAAATGTGACCCGTAGTGATTGTAATAAGAAACTCAAAAACATCATCAAGAATGGATCCTGAAAGGAGAACGTGGATCAAGCCTTCATGACTAGATCATAATAAGAAAATGTGGCACATTTACGTCACCGTGATTTGCGTCCACAGGAAAACGGGTTGCATAATTACAGGATTTAAATTGTGAACGTTGAATAACTGTGTGGAATGTCTTTATTGTTGTACTTTGCACTCCAATCTTCATTCCTTGAGGAATGGGTTTACTAGTTTGTAAATGGCCGCCTGATTGGTTTATGACCAGGGCTCCTGCTGTGCTTTTCCTATTTCCTCGGATCGCTACTGTGGCCATTGCAGGATTGGTGTAAAATTGTGTAAAATTATTCAAGGCATGTCCGACAACCCTTGAAAAAACAAGACGTTCTCATTGGAATGATGGAAGGTGGAAGCCATTGGAGGATTGGTGTAAATATATTCGAGACGTCTCACAACCCCTGCTGCAAAACTTCCTTCTCTGTTACTTTGTCATCGCTATTAATTGACGCATCTTTCCTCCTGTTTATGTGAAAAGAACTTGGCCCTACATTTGTTCTTCTTCGTTTTGTTCTGATTTGGCAGAAATCCCATAAAAAAATCCATCGAAAGCCTAATTCAATATTCATATTTTTTGTATAGAAATAGATCGAGCTTGGGGAACTGTGAGATTTTTTTATATATAATAATTTTAGAAACCAAATATCCTTCTGAAGAAATAAAGGGATAGATGAAAAGGAGAGCCGGTAGAAAATGAAGAACCAACCATTTTTTGTAAGTGTTTCTATTTTTTTCCCCTAACTGAAAAGCATTATGAAAATAAATTTGAGAAAACGTTTTAAAAATCTTGTAGTTCAAAAACTAATTTTTGTTTGACAAAAGCTAGTTTTTTTAACCAACGTCACAACTTCCCAGATGATTTTAAAGCTCCGCATTCCGCAGCCAATTATTGAAACAACAAACAATTTTGCAATTCCAAGAGCGTATTGGCAGCCATTATTTAATTTTTAAACTTATATAGCTTATATTTAATTTAATATTATTTTATTTTTAAAAATATTATTTTTTAATTAATTTTTCATATTTTTTATTTTGATTTTGTTGGCTTGGATTTCTTTGTATTATTGATTTTGTCTTAATTATTTGAAGTATGTCCCACAACCTTTACAAAAACTGGACGTTCTCATCGCAATGATGGGCGGTGGAAGCCATTGGAGGATTGGTGTAAATACATTTGAGGCACGTCTCACAATCTTAAGAAAATCTAGGCGATATACCAGAATAATTGCTCCAAAATTTCTCTCTCTGTTACTGTGTCATCACTATTAATTGACGAATCTTTCATCCTCCTTATACAGAAAAAACTTGGCCTTACATTTGTTCCTCTTCGTTTTGTTTAGATTTGGCACAAATCCATCGAAAGTCTAATTCAATATTCATATGATGGAAGTAGATTGAGCTTGGGGAACTGAGTGGTCTTTTTTCATCTATATAATAATTTGAGAAACCAGAAATCTTTTTGAAAAAAAATAAAAGGTTAGATGAAAAGGAGAGTCGAGAAAGATCGAGATAGAAAATAAAGAACCAACCATTTTTTTATACTTGTTTCTACCCTCTTTCTTTCCTCATATTTTGTTTTTAAGATAGATTTGATTAACTGAAATAAATTATGAAAATTTGAGATAAGTGTTTTATAAAATCTTTTAGTTCGAAATAATTTTTGTTTTCCCAAAGTTAGTTTTGTTGCTACCCTCTCAATCAAAGATAATTTTAAAGCTCTGCAATTAATTATTGAAACAATAGACAATTTTGTGATTCTCTGAATATATTACCAATTAGTCGAAGGCTATTCAAAAAGTTATTTATTTAATTTTTTGATTATTATGAATCATGTTTAATTTAATATTACGTTATTTTTAAAAGTAATCTTTTTTAATTAATTTTTTCATTTTTTAAACAAAAAATCAAAATAAATTGAAAAAACAATAATTAAGCTCTAAGAAAATTTAAAAATATAAAATCAAAGAATTAATTTTTATAACAAAGTTAATTAATTGTTATTATTGTTGTTTTTACTGGAAAAAAAGGCAAAATCCTGGAACTTACAAATTGATAGAATGCAATCCCACTAAATATCATTTAATAAAAACCTCAAGGAGCCAAAATGAGTTTTTAGTAAATACTGGATTGGAACCTCTAAAAAATCAGCATAACTAACTAGTTAATTTGCACTGTTATTCCTCTCGCGATAGATGTGACGTCACGTTTTAAAGATACTATTGCAATAAGAAAATATAGTTAACTAATTGGGTATAGAAGAAGGATGACAACCAATCATAATTGATTAAGAGATTCATAGTCAGTTTAAAATCAACTTCAAATTGTATTTTTCTAAATTCTTTATACCAAATAAGTTTAAAACTAATTAAAATTTCTCAAAGCTCTGCTTTCAAAACCAAACATACGGTAATATTATAAGCAAAATCATTCGACCAAATCTCGGAAGAGTCACAGACTCACAATCAAATCAAATAATTAGTTTTTCAAAAGCAGACGAACTAGTATATATTTAATTCATTAAAATATCGAAAAAGATTTTATAATAATATCGTGTCAAGACATAAAAACTATATATTTTAAATGCTATATAATCTAAGGTGCTTCAATGCCTTGAGAGAAGAACCGACAACTTAACTAAGCAAATTATCTTCAATGGAAGTTCCAAGAAAGGACGGAGTGCGGAGATCTGATCTTCTTGGAAGTGCTACTGATGTGGTCGTTGTCGGTGCTGGTGTCGCTGGTTCAGCACTAGCTTACGCTCTTGGCAAGGTAATATTTAATTAAGAGTAACCCTTAAACTAGAAGCACAAGTTTCTAGTTCAAAGACTAGAACAAAGAGATCTTCTATTGTTAATTTTTTTTTTAATAGAAACCTTGGATGCTCATGCTAATTGCAGGATGGATGGAATGTACATGTTATTGAAAGAGACTTGACTGAGCCTAACAGAATTGCTGGCGAGATCCTGCAGCCTGGGGGCTACCATAAATTGATCGAGTTAGGACTTGAAGGTGAAAAATAGCTTGTTGCAGAAATCAGTTAATTTGCTTGAACTTTTTTTTTCCTCATTTTATTGAAATAATCACATTTATCCTATATATGTTCTTTCCTGTAGATTGTGTAGAGGGGATTGATGCTCAGAGAGTGTTCAGTTTGGCTGCCATTTACAAAGATGGGAAGAAAGCTATAGTTCCATATCCCTCAGATGTGAGTGCTAGAGGCTTTCACAATGGCCGCTTCATCCAGAAACTGCGCGGAAAAGCTGCATCTCTTAGCAAGTATGTTTTCTTCCTTTCCCCTGGAACATATAGGAACAAAATTTTACATATTTGTAAAATCACTGCAGCTTTGGACTATTGATATTTTCATCATATGAAGATTTTTGTTTCTCATATATCTTTTTAGTTGCAGTGTTGAACTTGAACAAGGAACGGTAACATCTCTAATAGAAGAAAAGGGGATTATCAAAGGGGTGCAATATACAACCAAGACTGGTCAAGATTTGGCAGCTTATGCTCCTCTTACAATAGTCTGTGATGGTTGTTTTTCAAATTTGCGGCGCTTTCTCAGCAATCCAAAGGTGAAATCTTGCATCACCATAATTAGCTGCAAATAGATTTGCGTTAATCTTAGATTTTGCTGATAAAAATAGAGACCGGTCAGTTCCTTCATTTGCAGTCAGATTAAGGTTGGATCATTATAATTAATTTTTGCAGATTGAAATTCCCTCCTACTTCATTGGTTTGGTCCTAGAGAACTGTCATCTTCCTCATGTAAATCGTGGGTATTTTATCTTGAAGGACACGACCATCGTAGCTTTTCCTATTGGTACTAACGAGCTTCGCTGTTTAGTTGATTTTCCTGGCCAAAAAGTACCTTCCATCTCAAACGGTGAAATGGCTGACTATTTGAAAACAGTGGTGGCACCTCAGGCATGTATATGGTCCTTCACATAATCTACAAATTTTTAAGTTTTTTTTGAAAACAGGGTGTTTGATCGCGAGGAAAATTTATTTCCATGTCTTATTTTATCAGTAATATGTTCTCTTAAAGTTCCTTCCTATTCAATAATATATTCCTCGACTGATGATTAACAGCGAGATTTGCATACTTCAGATGCCAGCCGAGTTATTCGATGCATTCATCTGTGCAATCGATAAGGGCAACATAAGAACAATGGCAAACAGAATCATGCCTGTGTCTCACTATCCAATCCCTGGTGCATTTCTGATGGGGGATGCATTGAATATGCGACATCCTTTAACAGGAGGAGGAATGACGGTGGCGCTTTCTGATGTTGTTCTACTGCGAGATCTTCTTAGACCTCTGAATCATCTTAGTGATGCAGCTGCACTTTGTAAATATCTCCAATCTTTTTCCATTCTGCGTAAGGTATGAGCCAGACAATCATCGAATAGAAATTGCCAAAGGAAACTTTAATTCATGTTCATGCTTGTTGAGTGGAATTAAAAAATAAATAAATAAATAAAAATTTCCAGTCAGAAGTGGCATCTGCTAATAGTTCACCAAAACTTAGCTTGGGTAATTTTTTGTTGCAGCCAATGGCAACTACAATAAACACGGTGGCAGGTGCTCTACACACAGTGTTCTCTGCATCGGAGGATCCATTAAGGAAGGAAATGAGACAAGCATGTTTCAACTATTTTTGCCTGGGAGGTGTATTTTCAAATGGATTGATGTCTCTTCTCTCTGGGATGAACCCTGACCCATTGAGGTTGGTTTTCCACTGCCTTGCCTTGGCTGTCTATACTGTTGGTCGCTTATTGCTTCCACTTCCTACGCCAAAACGCATTTGGATTGGAACAAAACTAATTTTGGTCAGTATCTCTATTTTCTATTACTTTCAGTTTAAACTTACCGTTCCTTTTAGCTAATAATATTTGCGGAGTAAATTGTTCGGCTAATTATTTGTCTATTCATGCATATAGCTTGACAAAAAAAAAAAAAATTTAATTTTATCTTTTTCGTCTTTCAGGTTGCATTAGGGATCTTCCTTCCTATAATCAAAGCAGAAGGAATTAGAGCAACATTCTTCCCAGTAACCATGCTAGCTTACTACAGAACTCCTCCCGTCCGTTGATGACATTGGAAACAAGAATATTGCGAATAAAGAAGATAATGCTTTATTTAATTTTGCTGTTCCTGTTAGGTAGAGAATTAGTACTGGAACAGGGCGTAGCATTAAAATAGATAAAGCTGTTGTTGTCTTATTGGTGGCTCTTCCATCACTTTTCTATGCTCAGTTACTCTGATGAGATGGGATCAGTTTATCGATCGCTACCTCTTTAGCATTCTTCCTCATTTCATGTTTGCAATGACGTTAGTTTTGGACAGTGTCGGCACCTATCATATATTCGTCGCTAATAGTGTTATTTGACCGTTAATTATGGAATATTATTAGGATATGTTTTTTATAGTAAAAAAATTTAAAAGATTATATGAACCAAAACTTAAAAAATAAAAAATAAAAATAAACACCAAATATAGAAATAAGAAAACTAAATAAATAAAATAAAAAAATAAATCCTGTTAATTTTGTCATTCCTTGATTTTATAATCAAATTTTTATTAATTATAAAATAAAAATAATAATTATGAAATTGAGAGAAATGAAAATAAAAAATAAACAAAAAATCAATTAAATCCAACAAAAAATATTTACACCACAACCCCATAAAATTTATTTTTTGTTGGATTTATTTGATTTTTTCAAACTCAATTTTTAGCCGTCAAATACTTACCTGGTTTGAAACTCGATATTTTTTTTTCAGACAACTTTTCTATTATGCGTGATTATGGTATTGCCAAACAGAGTAAAGTAACTCGTTTGTTAACATCAGTTTTCATTAAAATTTCCTTTTCAGGAGCACAAACGGAGCCTTTGTCTTGTATCAATCATCTCTGTCTTTTCAGTTATTAGTTATTACTAGATGGTACCCGCGCAGATTCCTGACAAATGAGCCACACAAATTTTTTTTTCAACCCATGTCATATCAAAGTACAGATAGGCAGTCAGAATTTCTTTTATTAGTTTCATTACAGATAGGATATATATACCAATCTTAATTTGGTTGCATTTCATTTTAGTTGAAAATTTATGGTGCTTGTTCCCAAAATTTCGGATTTTTTACTTTGTGTCCCCATCTTTGTCCCGTATCAATCATCTGTCTTCCCAGTTATTATGTAATGGCAGAGGCTGCCAGCCTGCCCCTATTAAACACAAATTATTGAAAAAATGTAAAAGTAGGTACCATAACTTACATCAATTTCCGACATAAAATATTTTTAATCACATCATAGTGCTCTATCATTTTGAAACGCTTAGTATATTCATGTTAATATCAAAATTTAGAATTTTTTATTTTAAATAATTACAATCACGCGTGAAAACTCAAATATAACACAAATTATAAACCATAACAAGTGAGACTTGAAAATTTTAATTTTCTAGATGAGCATTTTATAGAAAATTTAATTACCGTTATACTAATAGACGGTTGGCAAAAAAAATAACGTTGGTATTTTTAAAATGTATATATATTTTTTTCCATAAATATAATTAGTATTTAATTACTAATGTTGAAATAGAGGAAAAACCAAATTTAATACCAGTCTTAAATAGATTAATATGATAATTTAACCTTTCCTTTTGTAGAATGCAAACAAATTCAATGTTTTTAACTAAAAAATTGAACGTATAATTCTTAAAAATTATCAATAAACCACTAACACTTGTAAATCCATCGATATTTCTTAATTTTTTTTTGACTGACTAGTATGTTTTTTTTTCAATTAACTATTATACCCTTGCTAGTTTTTATTTTTTTGTTCTCTCTTCGGGGCAGAAAAGAACAAATTCTACAGAATAAGCTAATAGACAAAGCTGGAGGAGGGCCCATATCCTCCCTGTTTGGCAAAAAAAATCCGCACGCGAATTTCACTGATTGCTAGAAAACAACCAAAATCGTGGTAGTAGTAAAATTTTTATTATTGGGAGGGTCCATATCCCAACTGATCAATCATCTTGTCACTTTCACAGAGATTTTTTTGCCGGTTCAAGTTACTTTCAAATCTTTTTTACTATAATAGGAAATTTGTAAACTTATGTGAGAAAATAGGGTATTTATACCATGTTATTGATATTATTAAAAAAACTAAAACAAAATCATGTTTTACTATTTATATTATTATCTGAAACACTATTCACATATTTATAAATTACTATTTATACACTCACAAATCATTATTCATTTCACTATTCATGTCACTTTTGTAACACTTTGGCTCTCAATTTTTTTATACTTTTTGGTCCTTAATTTTTTTAATTTATATTTTTTTTAATTTCAAACTTTAATTGTTTTGTGATTTGGTCTCATTTTTTTTTAGTTTTTTAATTATTTTTATTATTTAAAATTTACTACTTCAATTTATCTTTTTTTAAACTCTTTTTTTTTCAATTTCAAACTTTAATTTTTTAATTATTTTTATTATTTAAAATTTACTACTTTAATTTTTTTAAATCTCTTTTCTTTTTCAATTTCAAACTTTAATTATATTGTAATTTGATCCTATTTTGTTTTAGTATTTTTTTAATTATTTTTATTATTTCAAATTTACTACTTTAATTTGTCATTTTTTTTAAAATTCTCATCCAATTAATTTAAAATTATATTTATTGACAGTTTTGATTTATTTTTCTTTATGTATGGATTTTGAAATAAATTTTTAGAACATGATTATTTTTTCTTTTGAAAAATAAATTTAGATAATTTTTAAATTATAGTGGCATGATTAATCTATATATATATATTTTTGAAATACATTTTTAAATTAAAAATGTATTTCAAATTTTTTTCTTGATTTTTTTTTTGATATTATTTAAAATTTACTAAGTTAATTTGTCATTTTTTTTAATTTCAAAATTTAATTATATTGTGATTTGGTCCATTTTGTTTTATTTTTTAATTATTTTATTATTATTTAAAATTTACTACTTTAATTTTTTTTAAAAAAATTTCATTCAATTAATTTATAATCATATTTACTAATAGTTTTGATTTTTTTTTTTTAATGTATGGATTTTGGAATAAATTCTTAGAACATGATTTTTTTTCTATTGAAATATAGATTTAGATAATTTTTAAATTATAGTGGCATGATTAATATATATAATTTTGTCTGAAATACATTTTCAAATCAAAAGTGTATTTCAAATAATTTGTTCTCAATTTTTTATATTATTTAAATTTTACTACATTAATTTTTTATTTTTTAAAAATTCTTTTTCTTTTTCAATGTCAAACTTTAATTATATTGTGATTTGATCCTATTTTATTTTAGTATTTTTTGTTAATTATTTTTATTATTTAAAATTTATTACTTTAATTTGTCACTTTTTTTTAAATTCTCATCCAATTAATTTAAAATTATATTTACTCGATAGTTTTGATTTATTTTTCTATATGTATAGATTTTAGAATAAATTTTTAGAACATGATTATTTTTTCTTTGAAAAATAGATTTAGGAATCTTTTAAGTTATAATGGCATGATTAATATATATAATTTATCTAAAATAAATTTTTAGATTAAAACTGTATTTTAAGTCATTTTTTCTTGGTTGTTTTAGAAAAACACTCAAATTAATTAATTAATAGTTGAAAGTAAAATGTGAAAAATAAAAAGAAGATGGTTGCTCTACGTGTAAGCTCTGTATTCAAGGACTAACCATGCATAGCATAGAAATAAAAAAATATTTAAGAAGCTGGAAAAAAAACAAAAGAATTCACATGTTTTGTTAATTTGTTTATAACTTCGTAATAATTTTTATTTTGGTTTATTGACTTCAAATTTAGTCAATAGATTCTTTGCAAGTTAACTTTTTTTATAGTATTTTTTTTGTTTTAGATTGAAAACTCTAAATTCACTTAGTGTAGTTATGAAGTATAAAAAAATATCAAATCGTTGTTTTTTTAAAATTAACTATGCAACTACTACTACACCGAGCATTTACTTGTTTATTTATTTATTTTTGAATATTTTAAAATTAACTTATTTTAAACTAAATAATTAAAATTATATTTTGGCTTAGCCACTCAATGATTCAAATTAATATATTTTTTATTTTAATATTATTCATTCTTTTCTAAATAAATATATAAAAATTAAATTCATATTTTTTCAAAAATCGATATTCTCATCAACATTAAATAAAAAAATAATTTTTTCAATTCTATGTAAGTTTTTAATAATTGTTATTTATGTTTTTGGACACAATCTTATAAAATACTAAAGGTTTTTTTTAAAAAAAATTATTTAATTTTTTTTAGTTAATAAACCATAGATTAACAATGATAAATCTTTTTCTAAAGGAAAAATTATGAAAAACACAAATAAAAAATAGTTAAATACAAAATGTTTTATTAAAAAATTATAATTAATTTTTTTATTTTTGATTTCATATATTTTTATAGATTCACATTATAAAACATACTATTAAACTAACATAATTTTTATAAATGATATTATATAGTTTATTCAACCTACAATGTAGTGTAGGTAAAAAAAACTAGTATTATCTATTTTCTCTTTAAATCATGTTCTCCATGGGCCCATTTTTTTTTTTCTCCCCTTAATTCTCCAACTCTCTCAATTCTCACTCTGTCTCTCTCCATTATCTTTTTTTATCAACACTTACTACAATTGGCCCGCCTTGTTCTGATTTTAACTTCTGATCTTCTTTATCTTTGTGCAGTATAATGTACTATGAAATGGGCATGCTTTTCTAAAATTAAAGTTACGTTATAGACCTTCCCTAGTACAGATGAGATGACATATTTAATTACACAAATTTTCTTGAATATTTTACTGTTTTCATCCAGTGCGTTTTGACTTATAAACCTTCCAAACGATTGGTTGTGATTTTCCTAATCTAAATAATCCTCCTATTCCCATCAAACAAATTTAATTTGTTATACCTATTTTTTTCAGTATATATACCACAGTATTTGATGGGAATTAATGAATACCCATGCTGCAAACTACTTATATAAATTTATATATTACATCTATATACGAATTTTTTGTCAAAAACATTATAGAGAATCTCCACTTTTTATAGCAAGATAACATAACAAAAAACAAATCTTTGAACCAAAAATACTCGGATTATAAAAAGATTAAAGCTCACAGTCAAAATAATAAAAATACCATTATAAACCAATCACATTTTTTTGTTAGCTAAAGCCAAAATAAAATAAATAAAAATGAAATAATTTAGAAAAAGTACTTTAATTGGCAAAAGCACTAAAATGACTGGCTTATATAGATATGGAGGAATTTCTGGATACAGTTTATGTAATTGGAGGACAATTGTTGTCGGTGTTAATAAAAAAAGAGAATGAAGAGAGCTGGAAGGGAGAGTTGGAAAGCCTGCCATTTAATGCTGTAGATATATGAACCAGTATATCAGAAAATCTGAAATCTTCTCTTAACCATTCACAAGCCCTTGTTGGCCTGGAGTTAAATTTCTATTATTAAAATTTAAATTAATTCTATCACTGTTTGCTTTATCAAAGAGTAAAGAACCTGAATTGTGGTTGCGGTGGCTTTTTAGTTTTTAGAAACAACAACTACAATGGCAATGTACAAACTTTTTTGACAAGGCATTCAGTAGGTTGCGTGTTAAACAAAAAAACCTACTACCTCCCTTTCGGTTTATTTATCCCCTTTTCACTTTTGACAATAATTAAAAAATGTAATATATATGGGATCACATCATACAAATTTATTTAAATTTTTTAATAATGTCCTTTTGTTTTTTTCTTTTTTTTACTTTTCATAAAAATTAAGAAATAATAAATGTGATTTTAATAAAAAGTATAATTAAAAAATTTTAAAACTTCATAATGTGTCTAAACAAATATTTTAGAACAACTAAAAATAAGAACATGCCTAAAAAATTTAACATATTCACGTCAATCGTAGATAGTCAACAGTTTTTTTTTTTAATTCTTTTTGGTTCTATTACTTCCCTCGATGACATTATTATTCTGTTATTACTATCTCAGGCATGTAAGCATGTCGTTGATTCCATGTCCGAAAAACTAATGCCCTTTTATGACTGCTTCATTTATTTATTTATTTTAAGAAGTCCATTAATTTCATGATTCTCTTATTGCTTCCTTTTTAATGTAATCATGATTCTTATCACACCGTCTCTATAACAAACACACACCGACAAATAACTAAGAAACTAAAGACTTGAATATTGTTTTACTAGTAGTCCTAATATAGTTTTATTTTACAAAATCCTAATTTTTTTTATTATACATATGAATTAACTGATTAAATTAGATTTATGAACTTACTCGTAATCTAATTTAAGCGTTTAATTATGACGTATTTAGCTATTTAGGTGGAATATATTTATAGTATGTCAAATAAATAAATAAATATAAAACAAATAAGTTTCATATTTTACTAGATGCGATTTCATTTGATTTTATTTTAAAAATCAATTTATAATGATATAAGTAAATGAAATTTTAATTTTTACTTATTGATTGACCAATGAATCAACTCAAATGAGTGAAATTTGAAACAAGCCCTAGTCTAATAAAATTTAAATGAGAAAAACTTGGGTTTTATATGACACACTTGGAAAATGATAGAAAAACAAACCTTTTTTTTGGGTAAAATTCTTAAAATTATGTATGTATTTGTATCCATTATACCATTTCTATTCCTATGTTTTTAAAATTACCCTTCTGGTTTTTGATTGCCTTCAATTAACACTCTTATTATTTTAACGTATTCAATTAATCTAATAGTTAACTTTTATCAAATCTCCATGTTAGATATGTACACTAATATGTGATTATTAAATTAACAAAAAACATTAAAGAAAAATGTTCGTTTACTATTCCTTTCTTGTTTACTGTTTAGTCAGACTCATGGAATTGTAGACGCACACTTATTCGGCTATTCAACAATTGACTGATTAACAGCGAGATATGCATACTTCAGATGCCAGCTGAGTTATTCGATGCATTCATCTGTGCAATCGATAAGGGCAACATAAGAACAATGCCAGACAGAATCATGCCTGTGTCTCACTATCCAATCCCCGGTGCGTTTCTGATAAGGGATGCATTGAATATGCGACATCCTTTAACAGGAGGAGGAGGAATGACAGTGGCGCTTTCTGATGTTGTTCTACTGCGAGATCTTCTTAGGCCTCTGAATCACCTTAGTGATGCAGCTGCACTTTGCAAATATCTCGAATCTTTTTCCATTCTGCCTAAGGTATGAGCGAGACAATCATCGAATAGAGATTGCCAAAGGAAACTTCATGTTCATGCTTGTTGAGTGGGAAAAAGAAAGAAAGAAATAATAACCTCCATTCAGAAGGGGCATCTGCTAGTAACTCACCAAAACTTAGCTTGGTTAATTTTTTGTTGCAGCTATTAATGGCAACTACAATAAACACAGTGGCAGGTGCTCTACACACAGTCTTTTCTGCATCGGAGGATCCATTAAGGAAGGAAATGAGACAAGCATGTTTCAACTATTTTTGCCTAGTAGGTGTATTTTCAAATAGATTAATGTCTCCTCTCTGGGATGAACCCTGACCCATTGAGCTTGGTTTTCCACTGCCTTGCCTTGGCTGTCTATGCCGTTGGTCGCTTATTACTTCCATTTCCTACACCAAAACGCATTTGGATTGGAACAAAACTAATTTTAGTCAGTATCTCTATAGTCTATTACTTTCAGTTTAAACTTACCGTTCCTTTTAGCTAATAATATTTGCCGAATAAATTGTTCGGCTAATTATTTGTCTATTCATGCATATAGCTTGACAAAAAAAAAAAAAAAGAAAATTATAATTTTATCTTTTTCATCTTTCAGGTTGCATTAGGTATCTTCCTCCCTATAATCAAAGCAGAAGGAATTAGAGCAACATTCTTCCCAGTAACCATGCTAGCTTACTACGGAACTCCTCCCGTTTCTTGATGATGTTGGAAACAAGAATATTGTGAATAAAGAAGATACTGCTTTATTTAATTTTGTTGTTCCTGTTGGGTAGAGAATTAGTACTGGAACAGGGAGTAGCATTAAAATAAATAAAGCTGCTGTTGTCGCATTGGTGGCTCTTCCATCACTTTTCTATGCTCAATTATTCTGACGAGATGGGATCAGTTTATCGATCGCAACTCTCTGTAGAATTCTTCTTCATTTCATATGTGAGATGACGTTAATTTTGGACAGTGTCGGCACCTATTATATATTCGTCGCTAATAGTGTTATTTGACCGTTAATTATGGAATATTATTAGTGTATGTTTTTTATAGTAGAAAAAAAATTAAAGGATTATATGAACCAAAAAAAAAAAAATTAAACACCAAATATAGAAATAAGAAAACTAAATAAATAAAATAAAAAAATAAATCCTGTCAATTTTGTCATTCCTTGATTTGACAATCAAATTTTTATTAATTATAAAATTATAAAATAAAAATAATAATTATGAAATTGAGAGAAATGAAAATAAAAAATAAACAAGAAATCAATTCAATTATACACATAAATCCAACAAAAAAAAAACTTTATGGGGTATTTTTTGTTGGATTTAATTGATTTTTTCAAACTCAAATTTTAACCGTCAAATACCTATCTGGTTTCAAACTCAATATTTTTTTTTTCAGACAACTTTTCTATTGTGGGTGATTATGGTATTGTCAAACAGAGTAAAGTAATTCGTGTGTTAAAATCATTTTTCATTAAAATCTCCTTGTCAGGAGCACAAACGGAGCTTTAGCTGAAAATTTACGGCGCGTGTTCCCAAAATTTCGGATTTTTAATTTGTGTCCCCATCTTTCTCTTTCATCAATCATCTGTTTCTTCTGTTATTATGGAATGGCAGAGGCTGCCAGCCTGCCCCTATTGGCTATTGCGTTGCTCAAAAATCAAACACAAATTATTGAAAAAATTTAAATGTACCATAACTTACATCAATTTCCGACATAAAATATTTTAATTACATCATATTGCTATATCATTTTGAAACACTTACCTTTGTTTGGATAATTCCTCTTGGGAGGAAAGAAAAAAGAGGAAAGAAAGTGAGAGAAAAGAAAGAGAGAAGAAAGAAAATTATTTTTCACTTATTGTTTGGATAAGGGTGAAAAGGAAAGGAAAAAAATATATTTCCTTTGTTTGGATAATTGTAAAAAGAGAAAAGAAAGAAAATGTATTATTGTATATTTACTATAATACCGCTGTGATTATATTTCTATATTTAAATACTTATAATAAATTTGTATGAACATTTTTTTTATGAAAATAACACAAATGATAATAAATAAAAATCTAGCATGTAGCATATATCTAAAATGATAAGATAGATAATGAATCGTCTCCATAGAATAATCAATAACTCGTTTATTAATTAATTAATTCAAGTAGTCAATTTAGATTAATTATCAACATAAAATTAATTTAAATATGTATAACATGCATTATTATCTATGCATATAATAAGTTAGTTGCTTTTATCCATCATTTTCTTCGCTTTTTTTGTTTTAGAATAAACAATTACTATTTAGCAATTAAAAAAAAAGATTAAGAATGTCATGGTCATGACTTTTTGAGTCATGGCCATGACTCAGCAAAAGGAAGGGAGAGTCACGGCCGTGACTCTCCAAGGTGAAGACGGCCTCACGGCGGTGATCCAACAAGGAGAAGAAAGCTCACGGTCGTGAGTCTCAAAATTTCGAAAAAGCCCACGACCGTGAGCTTCAAAAGGAAGAAAAGACAACGCCCGTGAGCTTCAAAAGGCAGAGAAACGGCTTCATTGAAAGAGAGAGAGAGAGATGGTGTTTGCAGAGAAGGGAACGGCTAAGGCAAGGGCAAAAAAAAAAAAAAAAACATTTCATCCCTCCTGTTTTTCTCCCTATTTCCTCTCAATTTTGGGAGAAAAATGGGTCCCATCATTTTTACATTCTTTATTATTATTATTATTTTTCCTCTGGTTTCCTCTACAATCCAAACGGAGGAAAAGTTTCATTTCTATCCTATTTTCTTTCCTCTCCCTCGCTTTCATCCCTATCCAAATAGGAGGTTAGTATATTTATTTTAATATCAAAATTTAGAAATTTTTTTTAAATAATTACAATCACGTGTGAAAACTCAAATATAACACAAATTATAACCCATAACAAGTGAGATTTGAAAATTTTAATTTTATAGATAAGCATTTTATAGAAAATTTAATTACCGTTATACTAATAGACGGTTGGCAAAAAAAATAATTTTAGTATTTTTAAAATATAAACATATTTTTTTCCATAAATATAATTAGTGTTTAATTATTAATGTTGAAAGAGAGGAAAAACCAAACTTAATACTAGTCTTTAATAGATTAATATGATAATTTAACTTTTTCTTCTATAGAATGCAAACAAATTCAATGTCTTTAACTAAAAAATTGAACTTATAATCTTAAAAATTATCAATAAACCACTAACACTTGTAGAAATCCATCCATATTTCTTAATTTTTTTTGACCGACTAGTATATCTAATTTTTCAATTAACTATTATACCCTTGCTAGCTTTTATTTTTTTGTTCTCTCTTCGGGGCGGAAAAGAACAAATTCTACAGAATAAGCTAATAGACAAAGCTGGAGGAGGGCCCACATCCGCCCTGTTTGGCAAAACAAATCTGCACGCGAATTTCACTGATTGCTAGAAAACAACCAAAATCGTGGTAGGAGTAAAATTTTTATTATTGGGAGGGTCCATATCCCAACTGATCAATCATCTTGTCACTTTCACAGAGATTTTTTTGCTGGTTCAAGTTACTTTCAAATCTTATTTACTATATTAGTATAATAGGAAACTTTTGAATTTATTTATGAAAATAAGACATTTATGGCATGTCATTGAAATATCAGCTATTAAGTGAAAAACTAAAATATCTGGAATAAAGGACCTGAAATTTACTGTTTCACTGTTCATCACAGTAGCTTAGGTGTTTTTCTTTTCATAATTTTTAAAATGTTTCATTTTGGTCTCTAAAAAATTAAAATAAAAATTTTAATCCTTTAGTTGAGGCATTACATATATCTTTTTTTTTTTTTTTTTTATCTTTTTTCATCAATTTATGTTCTTTTTTTTATTTAATTCGGTTTAAAATTCTGAAAAATCAATTTTTCATTTGCTTTTTTTCATTAATTTATGTTTTTTTAACCGAGTGTTAAAATTTTAAAAAATCAATCGTAACTTTTTTTCACACAATTGACGATTATATAATATATCTTTTTGCATTTTAAAATTAACATATACTTCAGCTTATATTACTTATATTATTTAAATTTCATTATTTGAATTTATCATTTTTTTAGCGAAAATTCTCATCCAATAAATTTTTTTATATGAAATTTTATTTATTGATATTATATAATTTATTTTTCTCTATGTTTAAATTTTAGAATAAAATTTTAAAATATGATTGTTTTTTTTAAAAAAATAAATCGGTATAATATACATCATGAGTTCTTAAAAATTTTAAATGATAGTTGCACACATATAAATATATAATTATTTTATTTTAAAAGATTAAAAGTGCGTTTTAAATAATTTGTCTCAATTCACTAGGTATGGTCAAGATATATAAAAAAATTATTGAATCGTTGATTTTATAAAAGATTAACTATATATCTTCTAACATAATACAAATTATTTACTATAAATATCTTTTTAACATTATAGAATCAATTTATTTGGAATAAAATAATTTTTTAAAGGAACCAACAAATTATTCAAATATTATTTTTTATGCTAATTTTATTGATTATTTTGTAAATAAATATTTATAGATCAAATGCATATACTTGAAAAAAATAATCTTCTCACTAATATTAAATAAGAATAAAATTTTATTTTTTCATTGGTTAATTTTTATACAAGTCTATACATTAATTGTAACTTTATCCTTTGTATATATTCTTATTAAAAATATATAATTTTAAAGTATTTTTTAAAAAATTATTAATTAATATTTCAAGTTTAAATTATTATAAGTTTTTATTTAAGAATCCTCGAATAATGAAGAATAAATCATGTTTTTTAAGCATAAATTTTATAAAAAACACACAAAAAAAAAGTAATAATTAAATAAAAACTAATGAAAAAATTATAACGATTTGAAATGATTTTGTTCTATTTACCTATAGCATTGCACAAATAATTTCAAAAATTAATTTTCAGGTTTAAATCATTATAAGTTTTTATTTAAGAATCCCTGAATAATGAAGAGTAAATCATGTTTTTTTTAAGCAAAAAATTTAAAAAAAAAACACACAAAAAAGTAATAATTAAATAAAAAAATAATGAAAAAATTATAACATTTTCAAATGATTTTATTCTATTTACCTATAGTATTGGGCGAATAATTTCAAAAATTAATTTTCTCATCAACATTAAATAAAATTTTTTTTCATTTGTTAATTTTTTTAAAAATCAGCCCATTAATTATAAATTTATTTTTTGGGATATAATATTGTAAAAATTATATTTTTAAAGTTCTTTTTCAATTCTTAATTAATATTTTAGTTAAAATTATTATAATTTTTAAGTCAATCCATAAAGAAGAATGATTTATATTTTTTTAAGCAGAAAATTTATAAAACATTATAAAAAATTAATTAAATAAAATATTATAATTAAAAATTTTAAAATTTTAAAACAATTTTGTTCTACCGGACTCACTCGTGTAGCACGGCAACCTGGCTAGATTTTTTTGAAAATCATTTTCTCCACTAGCCCTTTTTTTTTGCCCTGTTAATTCTCAACTCTCTTAAGTCTCTCGCCAACTCTCTCCATTATCTTTTTTTATTAACACTTACTACAATTAATTTGTCTTACTTGTTCTAATTTTAACTTTTGATCTTTTATCTTTGTGTAGTATATTGTACCATAAAAATGGGCATGCTTTTCTAAAATTAAAGCTAC